CTTTCCCCTATCCTTGAGTTACCAATATCCTTAGGTTACTGTACCTATCAGGTTGAGGGTAAGGAAGCCCAGCAGCTTGCCATTGACAAGGAGGCAAGGTTAAGGCCATTGAAAAAGAGATTGGAAAAAAGGCAGGAGTTCTCAGTCTTGCAGCGACTCCTGTCAAGTGTGAGGTATCCCTTCAAGGAAGAAATTCCCAAAGCAAACAGAGCAACATTGATGGAGGTATCCAGTATCTGAGAGAATTAGCTGTGGTGGAGTGATCTTTACCAACCTGCATGATGACCAGGCATCCAAAGACCCAGACAAAATCTGGTGCACGCAGCCCCTCCACCAACCGCCCCATTAGTTTTATTGCCGAGCATGACGTCATATGGTATGGGATATCCCTTTGGTCAGTTGGGGTCAGCTGTCCCGGTCGTGTCCCCTCCCAACTTCTTGTGCACCCCTAGCCTCCTTGCTGGTGGGGTGGGAAGCATAAAAGGCCTCGACTCTGTGTAAGCACTGCTCAGCAATAACAAAAGCATCTCTGTATTATCAACACTGTTTTCAGCACAAATCCAAAGCATAGCCCCATACTAGCTACTGTAAAGAAAATTAACTGTACCCCAGCCAAAACCAGCACAATGTATTATATTGAAACGGAAAACGCTGCAAATGTTTCCATGTTGCCTTTTTTGAAGGAGTACCTGGAATAATTTTGCATAATTTTTCTTTGTGGAAGATTGGTTTTCTCTGTTACTGTTCATAACCCAATTTTGTCCAGATAGGAGTAAACTGGGCCAGTTTCAAATATATTTAAATAACACTGATGAAAGTAAAAGCAGGGCTGTCTACCTTCTTCAAGAGGACTGCCAGGTGCTAAATGGGTTGTTTCACAAATCAGTGATAAATCACCTTGGTTTCTTCTTTTTTCCCCAGCTATAAGGAAAATGCTTTAAGGTTATCCAAGATACACCACGACCAGCCAGTTAAGCCTCTGGACAGAGCGGTCTTCTGGATTGAATTTGTCATGCGTCACAAAGGAGCAAAGCATTTGAGACCAGCTGCTCACCATCTCACTTGGTACCAGTACCACTGCCTGGATGTTCTGGCTTTCTTGTTCACCTGTACAACCATTGCTGTCTTCTTTCTTGTCAAGTGCTTCTTATTTTGCTGTAGGAGATGTGGCAGGATTGCAAAGAGGAAGAAAGAGTAGACATCTTGTTCCCACCAGCACTTTTTCTTCTCCTACGCTGATTCAGCAAGGCATTTATGCAGATTCTTTGGTGAATAAAATTATAAGGATATGCTTTAAGCTCGGCATGTCATGAAGCATCCCATTGAACTGGGTCATGCTAAAAAGCTGTTATGGGGCAGAGCTGCTTGCTTAGCCAGCAAATTCCTTCTCACCTAAATAAGACTGAATTATAGTCGCTTTATGCCTTGGGACCCTGTTAGCTGATCACACACGGTCCCTAGAATGATAATTGCTGCTCTAACTTTTTAAATTCATTTTGGTGTATTTCATAAATTCAGCCTTCCCATGTGTGGTACTGCAGGTCCCTCAATCTGCAACTAGGCTTCTTATCTTAACTCTGTCCTCTCCTATAATGTCACCCAGGCTTGATGATTCACAACCAAAATGCCTCCCCTGTCAGAATAGCTCTCTCCAGATTGGATAGTGAAGCTAAGATCATGGGCCTCTAAAAAGTACCCATGTCAATGGTCAAGATAATGAAAAACTTGGAGCTGCAAGTGCTGGTGAAGCCTGTATCATCACATTTTTTATAAATGTGCTGGAGGACCAGAGTCCTAAAACCAGCAGAGAAATTACTTTTCTGAGAACCATTTCTCTTTTCCATTCAGTCTGGAGTCCTGCTGCACAGGCCCTCATTCTAACTGCAACACTTATAGGGGTATGAAAACCACCTCTTGTCAGGAACTTGCCCATCTTGACTCCCAAATGTCTCTGACATGCTAAGTCATAAATGTAGGAAAACCTCTAGAGATGGAACTTGCAAAGAAGTAACATGACATATGGGAACAATGCAATAGTCACTTGCCTTGCCTGAAAAGTTGAGAGCAGCATTATTTTCCTTCCAACTCAGATAAGAGTGGTAGTAAATGCAGCACTCCTGAAATCATTCAAGATGCACTTACTGATGAAAGCCTACTAAAATGATGCTAGTTCAGGCCTCCTGTTCTAGGTAAGCTTATTCTACTCTGTGCCAGCTTACTCAAGAAAGAACCTGCCCCAATTTTAATTGGTATTTGCTGTATTCCAGATGCTGTAGAATTGTTTCCAAACACAACAGGCTGAGAAAACATATTTGTTTACATAATAAAATTTGCTACACCACATTAACTTTTTCATTAGCATTGTCAATGGTTTCAATGCCTGCTTACAACTCTTCATATTACAATATTTAAAGCTCAAGCGAATTGTCTCCAAAGTAAAGAAAGGTTAGAACAAGACTAGTGCTCCTAATGGTAACTTCTGGTAGACTGTTCCTAGGGTCATGATGAGATCATATGCAGGAACAGGCATATTGAAATTTGCATAGTGAAAAGAAAATGGAACAGCATGACATTCAGGCCCGAGATCTGAAAGGTTTTGCTGTAACTGTTCATAGAGCTGGGTCCTTAGGTGCAGCTCCACTAAGCTTGATCACTAATAGCCCCCACCATCCAGCTTCTGCAAGCAGAAGATTTGCTGAGATGTCAGTTTGGTTGCCAGAAGGCCACCAAGCCTCCTGGCATACTATGTGGACACTGGTCAGATAGGGCTAACAAAGAACTCTGAAAACCAGATAGCTGGGGAAAGTTGCCCAGAGAAAGTGCTCTGCAGTCACTTTAAGGAGGTGCTTCTTTTCTCGAACTTCCTTTGAAAAATCTGGCTTATCTAATATTGAATGTAAAATAGTAAAAAACCAACCAACAAACAAAACCCCTAGAACCTCCTCTTCTTTCTAGAATCTGTATATAAAGCAGAAAAAGATATCAAAGAATGAAGGTGGCCTATGATGTATTTCTCCAATTAAACACAGAATGTGTACCGAATTTGACAGACTGATCAAATCCTACTGCTAACAGGCATACTTCTCTGTGCAGAGTAAACTGTTTTGAGGAACCCAAATATATGTTCAACTTCTTGTACTGTTTAAAGAACCTCAACATAATTGCATGTTGGAGGTCAAACTTTTTGCTTAGACCATGTAGATGTTTACTATAGCCATGTGGACAAAAATACACAGAGCCCAAATTACTGTCCAATCTAAAACCCATGTGTTTCCACAACTGCCACACCGTGGCCAATCCTATACTGCAGCTTATAAAAACAGCTACAGCACTCAGCACTGTGGAGCTGGAGGTCTTTAAAGCAGAGGCTACAATCTGGCTTTGTTACATGAGAAGACACTGAAGAAAAGTTACGAAGTCCGCCGAGGCAGGGCTACTCATACAAGTTTTGAGAACTAGACAATTGCTGGAGAAACTGAACAACTTGACTACAAGTTTTTTCTTTTTTCACAGTTTTACCATTGGCATACAGATTAAAATACTTCCTATTTAAGAGAAATAACAAGTGATGCAGTAATCACTACAAAAAAAAAGA